TTTGCCAAAATGCACCTTGAAGATTCTGAGGCAGATGAGACTAAAATTGAATTATTTGGCCTCAACACCAAACGATAATCCAATACAGCTCACCATTCAAATAGCAGCATTCCTACAGTAAAGCATGGAGGTGGTAATATTCTGTTATGGGGGTGTTTCTCTGCAGCAGAGACTGGGGCATTTGTCAGGGTAGAAGGAAAAATGAATGGGACAAAATACCATCAAATTCTTGAGGAAAATCTGCTGCCCTCTGCCAGAAAGTTGTCAATGGGAAGAAGGTTTACCTTCCAACATGACAATGACCCAAAGCACACAGCAAAACTGTGACCACACAGTGGTTGAAGGAGAAAAAAGTGAATGTCCTTGCATGACCTAGTCAGAGCCCAGACTTAAACCCCATTGAAAATCTGTGGAATGACTTGAAGACTGCAGTCTACAAACGGTCATCATCAAATTGAACTGAACTCGAGCAGTTCTGCAAAGAAGAGTAGGCAGATATTGCAAAATCTAGATGTGCAAAGTTAGAGACAGAGACAAATGCCAACAGACTAAAGGCTGTAATTAAAGCAAAAGGTGGTTCAACAAAATACTGACAGAAGGGGGGTGATCCTTTTTCCAACTCAGTGATTCTGTTTTTTTTTCTGACATGTTGGTGTTATATCTTTCACTTGGATGTTATAAGTTGCACTGAGGAAATACAGCTGGATGAAACAAAATCTGTGTCCGCCTTCATTTCATGCTCCAAAGCAACAAAATGTGATTATTTTAAAGGGGGTGATTCTTTTCTATACCCACTGTATACCTCTATTTATCTATCTATCTGTCTGTCTGTCTGTCTGTCTCTATTCTCTCTCTCTTTATATACTATATATAGTATATTTATTATTTTATTTATATTATATATCTATCTATCTATCTATCTGTCTTTTTATCTTTATAATATATGTAGTAAATTGATTATTTTATTTATGTTATGTAATATTTATTAAAAGTTGTATGTTAAAAATGAAATTGTCCTGATGATGTGTTTGAGACAATTAACCAAACTGCTTATTTTAGCTGATGCTTTGACTCGACTGGATGGCTCACCGCTCCATTACACTAACTGGCGCTCCAAAGCTCCAGATGCCAGTGACATGAGGGCTGATTCATGTGTGACCATGCAGGTTTCAGATGCTGTGTGGCAGTTAGCCGACTGCACTGAGAAACTGGGCTTTATCTGCAAAACCTCAACAGGTAAAAGGCATGGTTTTCAACCTCATGAGCACAAACCACCAGCGGAGGCTCAGTACAGTCCTGATCCTCTGATATTTACTGCGGTAACAATACCAGAAAATCACTGTTGGCCTTAGAGTGGCAACATTTCTTTGTTGCAATAAATGTTCTGTATCATTTGTGCACTGACTCACAAATGGCAAAACAAAGTATCTGTTAGAGGAATAGTTTACACAGATGCAAAGGTCATAATTTACTCACCCTCATGTTTTATGACTTACTTTCTTCTGTAGTTTTGAGAGCCGTGGCTGAGGGCAACATTTGATCAGTTAATACTTCCGCCGTGTAGTTGCTCGGATTTTTATTCAGATGTTTTGCTTTGCATCACAGGTGCCATCAAAGAGGTAGAACTGGAGCCATTGAAAGGTTAGAATATATTTTTTTTAATATAATTTTAATATAAATGAAGTAACAAAACAAAATGTGGTGAATCATACTTTTGAGGAAGTGGCAACTTTTTATGCATCTCCTTTTCCCTTTCAACTCTTTCACAATGCTAACTACTCCCAGTTCCTCAAAATTGAGTGTACTCAGCAGACTTTGTAATTTGTCTACAGTGACAATGTAGTCAGGCGTCATTTGAAAACTGATAAGAAATCATGTTACAAAATATTTTATAAGGGCTGAACTTGAAAGCTTTCATCATGTACTGAAACTCAACCGTGCAAGTTTCTTTCCAGGTCTACACCAAGGTGTGATCTCAGCAGCTGCGTTGGTGGCCATTGCGCTGTTTGCTGTGGTGATCGGATCATTGTGGCTCCTTTACAAGAGAAACTCTCTGTGCATCCTAAGGCTTCCAACGTTTGGCAGTGCCTATTACAGACAGACAAGTTTCCAAGGAAACGACCAAGATGAAAATGTTTTACTCCCAGACCTAGAGCCACAAGCAGGGGACTAGCATGTGTTTGTGTGAGCGTATAGGTGCATGTTTCCATTTGTGTTTTGAGTGAGAGTGTGTTCATTCAGTCAGGGAAACTGCAGTAGGAATGATGAGGATAGTCGAGTTGTCTGTCCGTACTGTAGCTATAGGAGGATACTGTGCACATACAGATCTTATAAAGCCCCAAGACAGACCATTTAAACGCATTATGAAAGGGATATCCTTTAGGAAGTGAGAAATGGGTCTTTTTCACTTTGTCTTATATTCAGGACAACAACAGAATTCCTCTTGGATGTAAAAGTTAAAATGGGCCAAATGGCTTGATTTGTTGAGTGTGGTTTAATATTAAAGTGTTGAGGCCTGTTTACACTAAAACAAATGTATATCATGCAAATGTGTAAAAAAAAACATTGGACAGTTTGAATGACACTGCAATTTCATTTTCTGACACCCGCTTTTCATGAAGAAGAAAAAAGGCTAGTTCCAGATTGTTCCTCTGTTGTTTATTGTCGCTTATCAAAATATGCCACCAAGTCGTAGTTTTATGTAACAGCAGCATGTTTGGGCACATAACCAAAAGTGTGACTCTTATTGGTTGACTAGTTTTCTTTGCAGTGCAATGGCAAAGAGATTAGAACTCCTCTCTGTAAAAAAATTCCATCAGTTGTTTTATTGCACAAATTTTGCATCAAACATTCGTCGTTTTGTAAACAGGCCTTTTAAAGTCAACATGAAATCAAAATTGACCCTATTTACTTTCTTAAAGGTGCACTCAGTATTTTTATCCTCATTAAAGTTGTATACATAAGGAAACAAATAGTATTTTGAAAAGGATATATAACAAAACAAATGCATTCCTAGTCTTAATGGGCACGATCTTGTTAAACAAACAAACAAAAAAAAAAATCTTTGTAATCTTTTATCAAAATATAACAACTTGCTCCACTTCTGAAACAAATTTCCTTTCTGATGACATCACCAAGGCCACTTACATTTTAACCAATGGTTGTCTGGCAGTGTGTGAAGAGGGGAAGAGTCATTCACAATTGACTGCAAACTGTTGTATGAAGCAGACACTTTTAATAATGGGTAACATTTCGAAACATCCATCACATTACGAAAGTAAAAGGGGTTGTGGGTGTCATTTCTTGTTGACTTTTAAGTGTTACTTTTTAACATTTGCAACTATTCAACAATGCAACTTTTGGATCTCTATGAGCCTTCTATCCAGGGCGAACTGCTTTTCTGAAGTCTTCAAATAATTAATCTACAGCAGGATGCTTGTTCTTACAAGTAGTTTGTTCTAGTTAAAACAATAAACTACTATCAAAAAGCCACTGCACACCAAAGCAAAGCAGAACAGCTTGGCCATGAGTAAACGTTTACCTTGCACCTTTGGTGGTGTTATCAGTGTTACAACCTTATTTTAGTATTATTTTCTCTCCTTTGAAATATGAAACTGGTTTGATCAGAAGTGTGTATGCATTACATGTTTGTTCTTTATGCGCACCTTACTTTTGCACAGCTCCCAGATCACCGGAGCCGTGTTGTTGTAATAAAGGCCACAGATGCACTTCAAATTCTTATTCCGTGGTTTAAAAAATAATCTACATTTAAAAACTTCCTCTTTATTTCAGCTGTGTTCGCTTCTCTGCCTTTTAGCATTGTCTAATGGAAATTATTAATGCTTCATTTAAGAATTTATTCTATTGCAAAAATGTGAATGAAGAACATTGTTTTTAATCATCTAGTGTTTCTCTACATTTTTGGGAATAAGGGCACACACAAAGACTACATTTAAGTTTCAGAAATCCCCTCTGTACTTCCTAATAAGCCATGCATATTAAACCGCCTTGTATATTTGGTAATTGTGTTGTGGTAATGAGTGTGAATGTGGTAGTGAGAACTATATTGCAAGACAATCAAGGCTTCATTGTTTTGCTGAAACAGATTTCATATATTGGTAATACATTTTGATAAGCAGTTACATTCTAAAATACAGTAGCTTCTTTCCATTCTGAACTTTTATATTACTGTAAAACTGTGGATTTGTGTGTTTTTCCATATGTATAATTGTGTTTAAAGGGTCTGCATAGTGTTATTGTGTGTCAGTTTACATTTTGTTCTTTTTGGTAATGTTTAGCAGTTTTTCAGTATAAGGTATAATTGTCACTGTCTCTTTTGTGAGTTTTTTTTTCTCTTCTTTTCAACAACACTTGATCAGTTTAATGTGACCAAATGCATTTTCAATATGTTTCACCTGGTCCGTGATTTAAAATAAATGATTAAAACCTCTGTAAAACCCATCTCGAGTCAAATAAGTCGAATTGATCATGACTTTTAAGCAGAGAACTAAGAAAGTATGCAGTGAATCTATAATCAAACACACTTACTTTGAAATATAGGTCTAAGTAACAAAGAACAAATAATTTTGTACCTTCTATTTTCAAAGGTTATTACATTAGTCACGACAAATGACAATTTAATGCAAATCCAACCAACCATAATAAGAAATTGAAATTAGAGGCATCTATGTAACATTGTTCTTATGAGGAATTTGCTCCCAACATTAAACATAACACAATAAAGTCCAACAGTCTCATACACAATAAAATACAATACTGCGCAATTTACAAAACAGTGCTACTAAAAAAAAAGGGCTGTAAGAGATAAGAGTGGTGTCGCAAACAAACAGTCCAGAATTGGGGGATAAAAGCGTTCAATAATAACAACAATAATGAAAATGATTATATAAGTTATATATATATAAGTTATTAACATTATTATGTTTAAATAATAATAATACATTAAAGTAAATTAAATAATTTAATATTAATTATTTTAAACCTCTCTTTACTGACTCTCCACCATAGACTGTATCTTCTCCACACTAAAAATAATGTCACGATCAACTGCACTGCATTATAGGGCGTGGCTATGCGCTATGACGCTCTTGACAGCTGGCCAACCACAGCGGCCCATCCGTGTAGAAATAAACAGAAACAGAAATGATTCAGAAGTAGTGAGGCAAACATCATCATCGAGGGGGATTTTCTGCCGCGTACAGCGTGAGAGCACAAACCCGGCCTGTACAAGCATATGTAACTTAGTCTGAAGATACATGACTGCAGTGAGGAGGTGTTGTTTACATTTTTGATCATGGATTGGAGCACACAGCAGTTGTTTTACACTATAATATTCCTACTTTCCGGAGAAAGCGCAGTTCATTTAGGAAGTTGCGTATCAGTTGTAAACAACGGTAAGTCTGCCTTTCTGTTCTGTATATATAGATATATATAACGTCAGACTAACTGCTATTAATACAGTTAATATCGAACCATTCTGAAATTGAAAACTTTAAAAGACTAAAATGACTCGAGCCCTGCCAGTCCGATGGGAAAGCGCTATTATCTAGTGAGTGAGTGAGTGAGTGAGGGAGGGAGGGGAAGCAGGTACGAGTTTTTGTTTGAGTTGGTTATATAATGTCTGCGTGCTGCTCTGAAACATTTAATACACTCAAACATGGACCGTTAGCAGTTCACATGTGTGAGTTTGTGGGTCTGGACAGGTTCAAGTTCACACGCTGCCTGTTTTAGAGTGTCATCATGGCCAGTGTTTGGAAATCAATATACGCAGTTTTAAAACAGCACTGAAATAATAACCTGCTTCATTGCCTCGATGTAGATCACGGCTCATATCCACCTCCTCATATTTCAGTTAGATTTGTGTGTGTGTGTGTGTGTGTGTGGGTGTGGGTGAGGGTGAGAGAGACTTTCAGCCATGCATTACACCATTTTTTGCCCATTAGCCTTCAAATTATTAAACAAATCCATGTCTGCATCATATGCATTTGCAATATTTACTGTATTATTATTTCATTAATGTTAAATCCTGTATTAAAATACACATTTAAACAAATCAAATATAAATAAAGTTCATTACATATTCTGAGAAATTAAATATTTGGAATAAAAAATGTGTTTTACATCAAACTGTTTTTATATAGCTTTTCGTTTAAGCTTTCAGGTTTGACATTATTTATTTATATAAAGTTGATATGCATAATTCAATACAGTTTGTAGGTTTATAGTGTAATAAATATCTACAATCAAATATTATATATTAACAAACATTTATTTATATTATTTAATAAAATGTTTTATAGGTTTTAAATTTCATTATTCATTACTATAACAATTATTATTTTAGTATCTATCTCTAATTGTATTATGTAATTCTAAATATAATTTAATACATTTTATTACACACACACACACACACACATATATATATATATATATATATATATATTAGATGCACTTATTTACTGCATATAATATTTATTTTTAACATGCACACTGCTTTTGTAGGTTTATGCTTGCATAAATCATTAGTGTGTGGTTAAATACACACTTGTTAAAAATGTTTTATAGGTTTTAAATTTCATTACATATAACTATAACAATTATTATTTTAGTATCTATCTCTAATTGTATTATGTAATTCTAAATATAATTTAATACATTTTATTACACACACACACACACACACACACACATATATATATATATATATATATATATATATATATTAGATGCACTTATTTACTGCATATAATATTTATTTTTAACATGCACACTGCTTTTGTAGGTTTATGCTTGCATAAATCATTAGTGTGTGGTTAAATACACACTTGTTAAATATGTTTCATATAAACAAACAAACAAACTACAGCCGTGTTCTTCGGAGAAATGTTGATGTTGTGTTTGTTTTGTTGGGGCTGCAGTGACGGCCCAGCCTCACCAGAGCACTGCTTGACTCAAAGAGCCCTTTGTTTTCTGCCTGTTGTTCTAATCAACAAAGTGCTAAGGAGCATACAGACACTATTATGACACAACTTTGACACCATATCAGACGTTGTGGAAAATAACTTCACTTTGGCAGGAGAGAAATACCAGTATTAATCCAATGTTTATTTAAATGCACTCATAGGCTGCTTCAACAACAACACACTGCTGTATAAACATTTAAATAAATCAGCTGTACAAGCTGATATATCTTTTTGAAGCAAGCGTGTGGTTAAAAGTTTGCATACCTCACGTGGTCCCCGAAATGTCTTGGTAAAAGGGCATCTAAGGACACTTGGATCTTAATCATCTTTGTTGATTTAGTTAAAACAGTGATCAGAAGCACATGGTATTGTTAGTTGACTGAATTAGACATAAAACAATGTTTGGTTTAGCACATTTTGAGTCGGTTACTCTCCACTGTCATCTTCTCTCAGATAATCATCTCATGCAGGATGTAACTGCATCAAATAACAATCTATTTTATATTTATTCAGGAGATGACACGTTTACTATCCAGCACAATAGCAATGGGAAGTGCCTCCTGGTCCAGGATGGAGCCTTGAAGTTGGGAGACTGTTCGTCAGTGCCGGCCGTGTCGTGGAAGTGGGGTTCGGCCCACAGGCTGTTCCACATAGAATCGTCCATGTGTCTGGGTCTGGAGGTACGCTCCAAAGTGGTGACCCTGTTCAACTGCGACTCCAATGAGATTCTGCACTGGAAGTGCTACGAGGACATCATCTACACAGAATACCAAATGAAACTCAGCATCGGTACTAACGACTCAGTCTCTGCCAAGAGGGACGGACAGGACACTTGGAAAAGAGGAGGGAGCTCGGATAACATCTGTCAGCAGCCGTATCTAAGTAGGACACTGTCACTTTTGTACATACTTATTTAGAGGTGCTGTAGCCTAATGGATAACACTCTGGGCAGGTGGCTGAATGGTTATAGGTTCACACCCCAGAAGAGGTGATGCATTAACCAATGTACCTTTGAGAAAGGTTGTCTAAGGTTATTGTCCTCATAATACGTCCCTTTAGATAAAGGCGTCTGCTAAAAGTTGACGCCTATTGCTCACAAAAGTATTTTCTTGACCTGGCAAGCTCTAATCTGATTGGCTGACACTACACAACTTCTGGGAGTGAAGGCATACAGGGTATTTTCCTAAAATATATATATATTATTTTATGCAAAAATAAGAAGATTTCCTGTCACTACACTGATACTTGAAGAAGGTACATGCTGCACACACATTTCTGTGTTTGTTGTAGTGTGGTTTACTTTGTGTTGCACTTGCACCAATTGCATGGGAGTTGCTTTGCTGTGGTTTAACAGACCCAGTTCATCTGCTTTCCGTTGATCTGCCCTGCAGGAAGAGCCTTGAGTTTCGCTGTTGTTTTATGTGACTGTAGCAATACAAAAATGGAGTTTATGGGAAACTCCACCTGCTCATACAGGTTAATTACACAACGATTGCTTCATATCTGACAATAAACGACTTGCGAATTTACTTTCTGTTTTTCTTTTGACTAACATTAGTTTCTCTGTGAATTTGCACATTCTCAGGTGGAAAACATTTTAAAAATGTTGCTTGGGATTTTTTTTTTTCTCACATGGGCTACATTCACACAGCTGCAGAATGTGGTTGTCATTTCTGATAAATCTGTTATTTGTTCTTACCTTTTAATATGTTCCCGTTTTTAGCTAAAATAAAAAAAGTTTAGAAGTTATCATTCATTTGGGTTACAAGTCCGACTCTCTAACCATTACGCCAAAAATGATCAATTTAATACATCCTTGCTGAATAAAAATATGAATTTCTTTCCAAAAAATCATACTGCCCCAAACTATAGAATGGTGGTGTATCTTTTTTTTTTTTTACTTTTAGTTTTATATTTTTGATGTTTATGTAGTTTGATATAATTTATATTTTTGCAACAACAACATTTTTTTTTTTAAATGATTGTTCCTTTTCTTTATACTGGACACTCTTATTTGTCATTGACCAATTTACTTTTGTTATCTGTTGCTGTAGTTACAGGTGTCTCAGGGCTTTAATCAATGATTGTGTGAATGTAGCCAAAAAGGACTAGAGTTCTGTTATATTTTTTGTCAAGTAGAATTGTATAGTAGACATACATGAGCATTCAGTCAACTTCTTTAGTGAATGATGCTTTAAAGAAGATCTATGGGGCGAGATGAGAGAGATTTTGTCATTTATTTATCAATCTCTGCATTTTCTTAGCCATGGTCCTGGTTATATTCACTCTAAAACTAAATTTACCCTATGTTTCTATTCGTGAGGAACTTTTGATTTTATTTATGAGTCATTTGTTCCATTGAGAATGTATCAGACGGGAGATTTTGTCAGATTAGCTACATAAACCCACAAACAATTCCCCTCTTCCCCTTTTTCTCAGGAATGCACACAAGCGGGGGGAATTCTAACGGGGCACCCTGTGAGTTCCCCTTTCTCTATAATGGGACCTGGCACCACAACTGTCTGCCTGGCACTGAAGACAAGACACTGGACTGGTGCTCCACCACAGCA